ATTACACTGAGTGGTGCAATAGTGATATGCACATGTGGTTTGAGGAGAACATTTTAGCCCAATGTGGGATTTCAGGGAAGGCTTTCTGTAGAACTAAGTCTTATTCTACTTTAGTAGGTACCTACCTAGTACACTAATCTATTTTAAGGTGCCAGTACTACATAATTGTAATGATTTGTGCATTTTCTCAAATAAATGACAAGTTGTCAATGGGTAAGAATTGCACCCAGATGTATTTGTTTAGGAATATATAATGTAGTACTTGGGATGTACTTAGTATAGTGTCGAGCAAAGAAGCAGAAACTTACATACTTAAAAAGCAACAGGATGGGCCGGCCCGGTGGCACACTGGAAAGTGCGCCGCTTGGGAGTGCGGCAGCGCTCCCGCCGAGGGTTCGGATCCCATGTGGTGACCGGTTCCCGCTCGCTGGCTGAGTGCGGCGTGGGCGCAACACTGAGGGTTGCGATCCCGTTGCCGGTCCCCAGTACGGGTGCAACACCGAGGGTTGCGATCCCGTTACCGGCCAGTAAAAAAGACAAAAAGGAAAAAAAAAAAAAAGCAACAGGATAACCAGACTGACTTGGAGAATTTGTCAACCTAATTTGGAAGAGCCCATCTTAATGATTCTTGTTAATATTTTTTATTTTTTTAAATTTTATTTATTTTTTTATTGTGTTTATATATATATATATATAACAAAAATTACCATTTTAATAATTTTTAAGTGTGTAGTTCATGGCATTAAGTATGTTCACATTGTTGTGCAGCCACCACCACTATCCATCTCTAGAACTTTTTCATTTCTCCAAACTGAAATTCTGTACCCATTGAACAATTAACTCCCATTCCTCCCTCCCCTTAGCCCCTGGCAACCACCATTCTGCTTTTTGTCTCTCCTTAATGTTTGATATCATGTATTTATTTTCAATGTATTATTTTGTAATAGTTTTCAAAGAAAAAAAATGCATGGCGTGTTTTTAATAACGCTTTATTTAGCCTGTTCTTCAGTTTACATTAGTTTTGATTTCCGTGATGTGAAAGTCACTCAACATTTTCATATATATTTTCATAATTTGTAAAGCACACATCTCTTTTAAATTGTGTCATGTCGGGCCTCCCTGAGCCAGAGGCCGACAAAACCGAGCGGGAAGAGACCCCGGTCCA